AAATGCGGCGGGTTCGACGAATTTCACGAACCGTGCGATCACTTCGACTTTGAGACCCGGATCCCTCTTTTCGATCCCGAGACTAAGAGACGATCGGAACGATGGGAGCGCACCGATTCCCTACCACCCGACGAGTTTCGACAACTTGCCTCAAATGAGAAGATTCTGTACGCCGTATTCTGGGACGAACGAGGTTCGATTTCGGTCGATCGATGGTTTGACCCTCGAGTCAAACCGTCGAGCATTACCGACACTTGCTCGAAACGGAGCTTCTGCCGGCAGTGGAAAAGTTATGTTCGGAACATTACATTACCATAAGATTGAATGTTGCACGAGGACAACCCATCGCCACCCACTGCCCGCGCTGTGACGGAGTTCTTGGGGAACTCTGACCACATCTCTATTCGCAAGATCTCGCTCGGAGTCATTTTTTGGCTCTTTGCCAAGCTCGAGGATTCCTTGCGAGGAAATATTCATCGAGATGAGTCCTTCGACACGAGCCCTTGGCTCTGTAATCTACCAGTGTTCAAACGTACTCCTAAATATGACTTTGCCCAACGCTATGAAGACTGGTTAAAACGGTGGCACGAGGAGACTTCCTTGAGAAATGAGAGAAATGGCTTTGAGGAACTTCGTATACTTTGAGTTACGGTATGACGACACGGACTTTCTCATTGCACCTTTACTATTTATTGGCGCGATCCGACCTATCAGACTTTGTCAATGAGACAAACGGAAATCTTAAAGTCACGTTCGATGGTTCTGGAGTGAGGAGTGTTCCGAAATGCAAGGAAATGAAAGCGAAATGCAAGGAAAAGGCATGCTCGCAGACGCATTCCATCCGACATGCAGCATTATGCCTGTCTCGTTTCGTTTTCGTGTCGCTTTTCGCACTTTTTTTCAGGGAAGCGTCGAGATTCCATTTCTTTACCGCGTTTTGCTTTCTCGCGTCGATATTTGACTTTGAAAACCCGTATCGCCCGTCGGTCGTTACTCGAAGAATGCGGTCGTCGAAAGGAAAGAGCGAGGCTCGAAAGGTCGAAAGCTAAGGGGAAATTCTTCTGAATGCGACTTACCTGTTACAGACGTGACCCGAGGCGGACCGGATGGAAGAGAGGCCGATTCGCGTCGCGTGTCTGCGTGCTGTGCTGTGGATGCTTGCACGCGTGATCTTCACGTGCGACGCGTTCGAGAGCAAATGCATGCCTGCACGGATCCACAGACTCTGACGGCGTCTCTTCGGATCCGGACGCCTGGAAGCGAGCACGCTTCTCCGCGCAGTTCGCTGCGGACGCGTCGATGCAACGAGACGCGCTCTGACGGAAGCGAGAACGAAGATGCTCGAGAGATCGCCGCCGATCGGGTCAAACTCGTGCTCGTGTCCTGTTATTCCTCGGTCTCCAATTACAGGGTCGAGTTTACTCCGGTGACATCATGACCGACTTGCGGCGCGAGTCAGAGTTTTCTCGGAGTTTAGGAATTTTACAATAATTTGCGGTTGCCGTGGGCTAGCTGGCTCGTGGAGATAAAGAAAATTCTCATTTCATTTGCTACGAAGCTCCGTGTTCGAAGAGGCTCCAAGATTCCTATCTGCTGCGTCGTTGTACGAGGAAACAGAAAAAAAGAGAGAAAGAGAGCAAAAGTGGAAGAGGGAAAATATTTACAGAAGCATCCTTCATCCGTTTGCCCTCCATCCTGCCTGAGCCCGGAAAATCCTCCGATTTCGTCGTCGGATTGGTTCGGTGGCTGCATCAAACTTTGCGTGATTCTCTTCCTTTTCCGTCTCTAACGAGGAATGTACACACGGGAGTGCGTCCGCAGGAAGGTTACTCGCGGGCCGAGTGCCAGCCGTCGTTTTTGCACGCTTGCGTGAAAGTGGAGCAAGTTCTTAATCCTTTCTCTCGGAAGCGCTCTCGCGGACGTAGGTCGTCGACGGTCGCGCGACTTTCATAAGAGCCTACTCGAAAGCGTGAACATGCCCCGACGTCGAAACGGCTGCACGTTGTTGTTTGTTTCATGCTGGCATCCGCCTACCGGAGGGATCGACGGTCGAGTAGCGCGCGGAAACGAGCCAGGGTGATTTTCATGCACACTTGGCGCGTTCCATCACGCATGGCGACGCATGTACGGGACGCAAGTGTTTTGCGTGCGAATACGTTTGAGCATGCTTGCGTGTGTTCCTGCGGTTGGGCACTCGTCACGCGAACAAGTATCGTGTGAAATGGTTTTCGACCTCCGACAACATCAACTCTCCTGCCTCAGAAAAATCTAACCGGACTACAAGCGTCCCTGGAACGCTGGACACCATGCGAGACCATCACGAGTTCGAGGAGAGCATCCGTTATTCTATTATGAACATCCCTTATTCCGTCATGAACATCCTTTATACGGCAGACGTCTGCAATCGTAAATGACGATCGGGTGGAGCCGGTTGCTCCCGTGTGATTGTTTACCTAGTGGGAGAAATGCGTAAACAATGCCACTCGCAGGGCCAATCTGCAGAATAGGCAAACAAGGTGCACCTCGCGAGAGGGGACGTCAGCTGGTCCCTGGATATGAAGAAAGCCAAAAGAAACGAAAACCGAAATGAGATTTCAACGTGGGTCATCTGGTTTCCCGCTCAGATACGTCCCATCTTCGCAGCGGACCCCTCACCTTTCCCAACCTTCTTCCTGAAATTGAGGCCAAGGGTAGAAGTGGCGGGGGGGGGGGGGGGGGGGGGGGGGGGGACATTGGGAACGGATTATGTGGGGTAAAAGGGTTGGAATTGAATTTTGTGGCATTTAGGAATACCGCGAAACATTTGCATATAGATCGACCTGCTCCCCGTGAATTCGTCTGGCTTCTGTGCACGTGATTTTTTTGCCTGCAGATATTTTTCTTAGAGTTTTCCCCAGAATTATAAACTTTCCAGGGAGTGCAAAGTCAATAAAGCGAGGAAACCGAAGAAAAAAAGAACGGGACGAGAAAAACTAATCAATATGTATGTCGAGAAGTTTAATATCCCAGGGACATTCCAGGACTCTTAAGTGGCATTGAGAGAAGATACGAGTCTTGGGGGACCGGGAATGAAAGCCATTCATCTGGATGGCTTCCCCTGCGGAGGAAGAGCGGAGATCATGGAAATGCTCTTGTCCCCACGATATCACGATGGTTCGTTCCTTCCCTCTATATGAAGTCGCGGATGTGGCGACGAGAAATGGCCGTATCACGTGCTGGGAATGGTCAAATCCCAATTCCCCCCTGCTTACCCGCATTATGGTATGAGTCCAGCGAGAGTCATGAGTTATCTCTCGTCTGGATGAGAAAATTACTACTTATCTTTCAAGATGCTAACAAAAATGGCTTTAAAATCGTAACTAAATATTGTAATTCTTTAATAGGAGGAATGAACAAGAAGTTAGAAGGGCGAAGTGACGCTTATTAAGATCGGTATTGACGCAGTCGCTCAGTTCGGATCGTCCAGTCGCGTATTGATCGTGAGTTCGTTGACTTGAGTTATGGCTTTTTCTTGTAGATTTTCGTTATAGCCTCTTTTATGAGTTCTCTCATTTTCTCCCATGGTCCAGATTGAGAGCTTAGCCCGTGTGAATGGAGCCTAAGGGTCGCGGACCCCCCGAAATAAGATTAGATCGTCGTCTCCTGGGAACTGAAACCCAATCTACGGCCCGCTGAGTTTGATTTACGATAGTGTGAGCTTATGATTCCTAGCGCGCTTCCTTTTTATATGAGTTTCTATCCGGGATGATACGAAAGGCCCCGAGTGTCTCACGAGACCCATGCATGTTCAAGATTGTGTCGTTTCTCCGAGAAAGTCTCTTCTCTTTCATAACAAAGAAGGCTCTCTCTCGGGTCTGCCCCTTCCGAGTGTTTTTTGTGCAGACGCATGGAAAACACTCGTCTGGAAGGGAAAGGGAAATCTCTATCCGAATGCGAAAGGGCGAAGATGTGGAAAGCCCTCTCACAAGAGAGAGAGAGAGAGAGAGAGAGAAGGAACGAGTGCTTTCAAGGCTTGGGGAGGAGGAAGACGAGGAGGATCGAGGAAGGCGATAAATATCCGCCTTGAGGAATGAATCCCTTTCCAACCGAGTTCACCCATAATGGATCGGCTCGTGATGGATGAGGATATTCCAAAAAAGGCGCATAATGGAGCCTTGTCTGCTCGGTATATATTGTATATGGGCATGATGAGGAGTCTCGATAAATCTTCGCCGGAGCTCTGAAAGGCGTTTTATTGGACGACAGATGCCTTCCGTGTCTTCTTTGTCTCTCTCCGTGACAGATATTGAAACACGGGCTTGACGGCCAAAACAAAGGGCCTTGATATGAATGGCTCGATGCGAGGTCAAGGATTTGCACCCTCATTTATTAATGCCCTGTGATCGAACTCCCCGATTACATTGTACTTACGACTAACGAGGCTCGTTTCATAAAAGAAAGGGGGACGAGAAAGTTTTTCTTTCTTTCTCCAGTGGTGATGTAGATCGATCCGTGTTCGATGAAAACGGGTCTACCGAGTGTACTTCGAGGGAGAAAATGCGGAAATGAGCTGGCGCAAGCTGTGCCAAATTTTGTCGAATATCCGGGAACCCCCTATTGTTATGGATAACAGAGAAGTGGAAGCGTTCCAGACAGGAAGAGAAGCTCGGCTCTCCTCCTCCTCCTCCTTTTCCTCATTCTGAATCTTCCTTTAAAGGGTTGTGCGAAATTTTCTCTCCTTTCAATACTACCTGTGACGGCTGTCTTCGCTCTCTGACAATAAATGTAAGGGCCGGTGTCTGGGTAGTCCAGGCTGTTCATTCAATCCATCAATCATCGATCAATCAATCAAGCTTCTCCTATGAATAGCATAAAAACAGGTATAGTGGATTCTGGAAGACTTGCCTCGTCTACACTGAAAATCTACGGATCGTGAGTACAAGAAAAGATACGAAGAAAACACCTTGCAACACTGTTAGCGACGAGGGTCTACCAGTGAATGGAACCGTAGAAAAATAGACTGAAGGAATGAAACGGAATAGTTATCGTAGTAACGCGATATCTTGAACGAGAAGGCCCATGTGCAAATGAGCTATAGTAGGCACCTCGTCCAAAACTCATGCAATAGACTAGTACATCAACCGGTGCATTCAAAATGAGCGATCCTTTTACTGTTGGGGGCATAACGATTCGGGTTATCCTCAAAGTTATTATTAACAATTTTATAAAATATATTTGTAGTTTTTTTTCTAACAGCAACGTTCAACTGACGGATCGGATTCATAAAAAAAAGTCGGCAGGAATGTCTAGCATGTTTTATCAGCATCTTGTTTTTGAAGAAAGAAAGCGAGAAGGCCTGAACGTCTTTTCCATGGCAATCGAGCAATGACGGGTCGTTCATGTTGAATCACCTGGTCTGGCGTATCTGAAGCATAATATTTTTTACACGTCGGTGTTGATGATCCGGATTTCGGCACAGGATCCAGCGTTACTGGCGAAGGAGCTGTTGTAACTGGTCGTTCCCTCAGACGAACAATTGAAGGGTTCGAGTTCGAAGGAGACATCCGCGGAACAGTTCTTCGAGGATCCTGCCCCACCGCTCGCGCCACAGTCCGTCTCGGGGATGCTCTGCATCTGGCGGTAGCGAAACATCGCCAGGGGGATCTTGGGCCTCTTGGACGTCTTGTGCGGGACGAACTGAGTCAGCTCGCTGCTTCTTCGGAATCGATGGGGATCGGGGATGGCGGGGAGGAACTTGATATCCTCGGCACTCTTGGCTCGTCGGGGTGGCAAGGACAGCCCCGGTGAAAGGAGGGAATGGGGAGGACAGACGAACACAGAATTCACTCTATCTCGATATCGAACGGGGGAATAAGAGCCAAAGTGAAGGTTGAAAGCGGCATTTGTCCCGGCCATATTCGTTCCCGTTCCCAAGCTTCCGCCCGTCCCGCCGAGGAATCCGAATTTCTCGGCCAGGGGTTTCAAGTTCACGAAGTCGTTCGGGATGCTCCCCCGAGGATAAATCTGCAGTGATAAATGGAAAGAAAGAAAAACGTTCGAGTTCGTGTATGCGGAAGAGGAGGAAAAATGAGGATGAAAAGCGAGGGAGCGGGACATCGAAGAAACTCTAAAAAAGAGTCCTCATCTCATCAGAGTCAATCTCCTGTAGGGAGGAAGAAAAAGAAGAGAGAAAAAGGGCGCTGATTGGAAGATGTCAAGGGATCGCCCCACATACCGAAGGAGAACGCTCTTTTTTTCCTTCCCAAAGAAAACGGAAGGCGATTGCTTTTTTTCTTTCTTGTTCTTTAATGCTACCCTGAGAGAGAAGGCGTGGAATTGCCTGGGAGTTCGCGCCGAACATCATCGACCCCCTTTTCTGGTATTCCTCTTTCATTCGCAGAATCAGATTTCCACGTGACTCTTCCCTTAATTTTCACAAGCTACGAGAATTTGTTTCTAAGTGCTTCCTGAAAGCAGGAATTATGAAAGGGGAAAATGTCGAGAGCCGGTCCCAGGGGATCCGAAATGAAAGAGAATTGAAGAAGCGGTCCCTGCAGGGATCTGGCTTATGGACCTTGATTTCATTACTTGCTCCAAATGGGTTGGAGCTGACAAGATGAAAAAAGCCACGCACAGCCTCAGTCTGGACGTTGCATTCAAAGGCAAATGGGATGGGGGAAGAACGAAAGCGTCGCCCTCTCCACCTTTCGACTCGACGAATTGCCTTCATTGCAAACTGCGCATATCAAATCAGTCTGTCTGCATTTAGTCGATGTAGTTTACGTCTCGTCGAGAGAGACTGCGAGTTCGATCAGGCCAGGGTCACGATGTTCCCTCACCGTTATTGCAAATCTAAGTTCGTTAACGATTGCGGTTACCTCGCCTCGCTTGTTTTCCTCATCTGTTCCTGCGTCCACGGAAGCGGAACTCTGCAGGGAATCATAATCGAGAAGCAGGGTTCCTCGGGAACACCCGACACCACGTGGCACGACCTAGTTCGTCGTCGATCGTAAAATAAAAATAGACCGAAACAGACCTGTGCAGCGGCGATGGAGCAGTTGTGCATGTGTTCCTGGTAGCTGGGTTGATAAGGTTCCAGCATGCGGATCTTCCCCCATCGATGAAAGAAGAGGCTCACGGCTCCGACCCAGACGAATAGGACCAGCAACACGATCCCGATCTCCTCTCCTCTCACCGTATTCCCGCTCGTGTAGTCTTGGATCTTGACCGGACGACCGAACCGGTTTCTCGCCACTATACCATACGCACTTGCATTTATACGAACGAACGCGTTCGTAACCGAACAGACAAGGACTTTACGACGAAGACGAAAATAGGCGGTTCTCCTCTGATTGTAACGATACATTGATGGTATCGCTGCAATCGCTGTCCTCTGTGACAGAAATTGAAAGAAAGAACGCAACCTAAAAATTTCTCATCTTTCAGTTTAGAGCAAACGTTATTGCTCTTTTCTCCCCTTTTTTTTCGGGATGCTTTGGACTTTCCTTTCGTCTTCGCCGAGGGAAATCATCCGAAAGGTGTTATCCCGGATTAGGCAACCCAAATCGGATTAACTATACAGAGAGGAATGCGAAACTAAGTTGCCATTTCGTCCCAACGAGGATTGATCGCTTTCCCTATGGAAGGCCTCGGGGCGAAGAGAAGGGAAATTCGATCGGTACTTCGGTGCTCCTTCGGTACTCCCTACATTCGGCCAGCAGGGGCTTCAAAAGAGAATCCCATTAGGGTTTTTTTTTCTAGAGTTTTCGGTCTACTCTCGTGGGACCAAGGATCACGGCAGAGCGAAGCTTCGCTCTTCGGAACCAGAACGCGGCCGGAGTTCTAAGTAGTATAAGCCGAGGGGAAAACTCCCCAAACGTAAAAGGGAAAAGATCAGTATTACAACGAGACTGAATGCCAGGCACGGAGACGAGTATTCAATGCTTCCTTTACGCCAATGCCATATTCTTATGACCTCTCTCTCGACCGATCCATTCGCTCCGAGATCAGAATAAGAAACGCGTTAAGCGATCTAGAGGCGCAATGCTTTTTAAAATTTAAATAAATTATATCAGGCTCATAATAAATAAAAGAGCGGAAATAGGCGAAAAGGGACGAACCGGCCTCCGTTTCGAAGAAGACGATCGAAGAAGTGGAGAGCTTGGTGTCGCCCGTGTAGGTGACGACATGGAGTTGGTATCTCGTATAAGGCATCAGCTGCTCCAACACTGCCCCACATTTTCCCTCTACATCCAACACAATCTTGTACCTGCAAACAGACGGCACACCTCAGGAATGGGTTGGGGAAATCCAAGGATCTTTTCTAGGATTCTTCTAGGATTTTTTTAAACCTCTATTATTCGGTGTGAGGAAGGAGGGGGGGGGGGGGGGACAACCCCCCCCCCCCCCCCCCCCCCACTCCTATGTAACTAAATAGGAAAAAAATTCTAGACGCGTCCTTTGGGAAATCCGATCATTTCCCAGAGCAAACCCAGACGGAGTTTACATTGACTGGGTTTACAAGAAAGCTCGTTTCCTAGGACTAGATGGGCTGAGCCCTATTTGCACTTATAAACTATCGTTCATCTGCTACAAAAAGCTTTTAAAGCCGTCTTGTTTATGTTCATAAGCTTCCTCGTTGTAAACACATCTAGCCTTCTCTTTAAGAAAAAAGCTAAAATGAAATAAAGTAAGTAATATAAAAAGTAAATAAAATTCCATAATAAATATAGTTTTAAAAAAAAGTATATATGCATAAAAATAGGAGTCTCCCTCAAAAAGAAGCGCATCTTTTAGTCGTGAACGTTACATGGACTTGGACTGGATGCCTATTCTAAACTTACCACCCACGTGGCTTTCATGGCAAGTGTTCCTGTGGTTTCTCCTGAAAGGGCCGGAAATCACATAGAGACGAGGAAAATGTGCGGAGGGAATTGCTTCCGAGAACGGGAAATTTCTCCTCTTTGAAAGGGGGCTGACTTGTGGGGATGCCAGCCGAACTGCGGTGTGGAAACCACTCTGGCAAGGATTCCGAGCAGCACGCTTATAATTGCTGGGATAAGTGAGTCAGTAGGAAACAAAGAAAGGGAAGGATAACGGAGGAACGTGGAACGAGAGAGTGACCCTTGGGAAAACAGGCAATCGAGGCAATCTTTCGAGGGGGAGATCAAAGAAGGAAAGAAGAAAATGAGTTCTTGCGGCTCTCCATTCATTCATTAATTCTCTCTATATTCCTTTTTTTCGCTTCATCGAGTCTTTGAGAACAGGACAAGGCTTCGGTTTATCTTCGCGGTATGGTTGGAGTCAGATATCAATAATCCACTCAATAAAAGATACTCGATGCAAGAAGAAACCGGTGGAGCTTTCCATAATTGAACAACTTCGTTTTCCTACAGTTGTGCTTTAAGTTCCTGGTTCCCCTTACGGATCGATTACAGGACCCCCTTCGTTTAAAAATTTATTCTGCGCCTTTCAGATCTCTCTCTGCAACCTTCTCTTTTACCTTTGTCCTATTCGTATTAGGCTGTAGACGAGGAGCAGACGGGTAAAGGCATGCCATGCCCGAAAGATGGGCCATTCGCGAGAGCCGAGATAATAGCGAGTTCGTGACGAGAATGAGTCTTACGTTTCAGAGATCGTGAAGTGGGCATCAAGTCTTAATGGGAAGTCGTCTTTTTTGTGCGCGAAGTTCTGTCTTTTCCTGTGTAGGTAAGGGTGACCCGTACCCTTTCGCTCGGAACCAACCAGGTATGAGTCGCGAATCGAACCGTGAATGATTCATCTAATCTCTCCGGAACTCCCTTCGAACTCCAGTGCATCTCATCAATTCTGCATAGACTGCATGAGATGGAGCACCGGAGGAACTCGGATGACATGCACATGGAAGCGGAAATCCGAGTCCGACTTCTTCCGCCGGATGAGGAAAGGAGATAAAGAGACGAAGAGGAAAGTCCAGACATGTCCGAGAAAAACGCCCGAGTCGGTTTGGTTCTGCTTTCGGTTTCGTCGCCCGTCATCCCATTCCGTGATGGAAAGCGAGATCGTCTTATCTTCGGAAGCTTATCGTCCGAAAGCTAGATGAAGACCGGTCTTCCGATAGCGAGCAATTTGTCGTCGTCGCGGCGTGGGATGAGGAGGATATATCAAGTCGGGTATCACATGGGAGAGAGAAACGATTTTCTCGGAAAGGAGCAACGTGAGACACGTGCCGAAGTCATTAGATAGAGAAGAGCGAGAATCGAGTGGGATCTCGTCTCCAGAAGCGAGGATACAAAGACGTGGAGGCGTGGAGATCTGGTGAGGGGAGATTGCAGTGATGCTGGAACGGGAAAGGTGTGAAGGCGTGATTCGCTCTCTCTCGGCTATTGGAGGTTGCAGTGATGCTGGAACGGGAAGGATGTGAAGGCGTGATTCGCTCTCTCTCGGCTATCTCGAAGGTTTTATCTGGCCTCGGGATATCAGGAACGAGACGTGAGTTCATTCTGCCGGGAGTCAAAAAACGATAATAGTGGTCGAATGCTTTCCAAAAATTTTCTCAACGTGTTCCGATGACTAAATTTTTTGTCTGCCCGAGCACAAAGATGGTTGATAAGATGAAGTTCAGAAATTAGCTGACTCCGTGAAAGTATGGAATCGATTAAGTTTGCTGAGGAAAAGTGAAAAAAAAACATGAAATCGACTGGGGGCAAACGGTCGCGAAAGTGCTCACATTTACACTTTTTCCTTCCTTCAAAGGCATAATTATTTTCAGCGTCTGCTCGTGTTTTCTGAACATGCCGTTTGTTTTACGGTAGGGACGTTCATGGATATGATTACAGATCGCCATCGTTTGAAAATGACAGGCCTACTGACTTGACTTACTTGATGAGCCTGATTTGAGGCCTGGTCTTCGTAGGCCTCAAATCACGTGTTGACGACGATAGCATCTTCATTGCATGCATATGGGTGGAAATAGATAACTTACAAGGACTTTATTATGGAAAAAGTTTGAAACCATCCATTCGTTCAAAAGAAGGTTAACGAGGGGGAGGAGGGAGGGGAAGGGATGGGGAATTCATTCAGGAATTCAACATCATTAAGGGAATCGATAACATGGAGCATGGTAGGTTTTTTCAACTTGATGGCAAGAGCAGAACGAGAGGAAACCGATTCGAGTTACGTAACCATTTGCTGATTGACTTATTCGTAGAAAAGTGAATGCGCGAAACGCGTTAGGTGATGATTCCCCCGCCGTGACTAGCTTTAAGAGATTACATGCAAAGCAAAAAAGGAACAAAGTATCCATGATTTGGCAGTAGGCGGATATGCTTCCACGATATTTCTAAGTGGGGTTTAGCTTATTTTATCGTATACATGAAGGCGAGACGTCGAGACGAGACGCGACGATGAGCATGCATGCCCATGCCTCGTCGCGCCCCCGCCCGAACTTTAAACGGCACGAAAAACGCGCGAAGTTCGTAGAAGAATAGCTCCAGGCCGTAGAACCAGGCAGGGCCTCGTGCGTTTCTCAATCTCTTGCGTCTTCGCAGGCCATTCTGACGGGTCCGAGGCTTCTTTCCTCTCATCCGTCCTGATGAGAGAACCCAGCGAAAGCGTTTCTCTCATCGAGACATTTTCTGGCGTCCATTTCCAACATGTGATTCTAAATGCGACCGTTAAGTTCCTCGATTTTCGCATTTCTGCATACTTCGTTCTTGCGAAAGAAAACGGCTCGAAGAACGTAGACGTCTGTTTCCTTCGTCGGTGAAGGAAACCCCATATCATGCTTCTCGATCGGCAAATAGAAGGCATGGATTTCCAATAGCCCGAATCCGAATCCCTGGGATTCACGTGCGGGTTGCGTCGTATTCCCTGTCTTGTTTCCGAGAAGTCGCGATCCGGACTACGAGCTCTCGAGTCGTACTTTTTTCATATGAAATCGGCTAAGACGTAGCATCGGGCGTAAAACGACGTAAAACCTTGATTTTGTTTGACTTGGAAATTTAAGCGTGTTACTTTCGGACGGACCGTAAACGAAGAATCTCATCGATCGAACAACCTTTAATACCGAGCCTCGAATCCCCAAGATAGACTCACTCGGGATCAGCCGAAGCCACTAGTACGCGGCTTACTGAAATCGGCCTGCCTTGCCGTGTTTTCTCGAGAGCGATCGAATGTGTTTTCCGGCAGGCTCGGAGCCGACTCTTCATTATTTCATGTTCCTCAGAAGCACGAGTCTCGTCTAATATGGATCTACCGACGACTAGTTCGTGAACATCCATTCTGTATTCCTTGCAGTACGTCCCTGTGTATATTTCATTTCGTTATTACGAGGCACCATCATGCCATACGCTAGTAATAATGGAAACATATGTACCTCAGGTTCCTTGTTCAGAGGAAATTCCCCCTCTAAAGAGATTCACTTGGGTTGCTTTTCTCCCTTCCCTCCTTCCTCCCCATTATCCCCATATGGATGCAATGCAGAGAGGGAGAATCCCCTATTGCCGGAGAGCCAATCCTCAGCGATTGCTTCACCCCCACATCATGTACCTAATACGAGTCCCTACCATCTACAGCAATGCCACAGTCTCTCAAATAATGTAGAGGCAACGCTTAAATAAAATCACCGTCTGGCTTTTCTTCCGCATCGATTATATTTAATACGAACATGCAGGCGATGTCGAGTTATCAATATTTGCTCCCTCATGATGATGAAGGATGGCTTCATATCATTTGATTAGGACGGTATCTCATTCCGACCGGATGAATTTGCACAACATGCACAGGGTTCGCTGAGCATTCCTATTCTTCAGCTTTTCACAGTGGGAATCTAGATAAATAGCGGTACGTGGAGAAAAGCATTTATTTCCCTCTAACTAGGCGTATTTCTGGTCGAACGTCGGCCGTGCGGAATCCGCATTTTCCGGTGCATTTCGAGCGTTGATCAAGGACATACAGCGTAGATCGTACCATTCCAAATTCTGATCGATCCCTCCCGATCGATCCCAGCCGGATCCCACCCGATCGATCCCCATGATGCATGCACGTCTGTGGCCTCGTCCCGTCTCAATTTCCTGCCTCCGCCTCTCGTCTGACACCCATCCGAATTGAGTTTTCGGCACGAGAATGAAATATTGGCCTCGATTTGAATAACGAGGAAGGAATTGCATGCGAGTTGTGATTCGTGCCGGAGTCGTAACGGGTAAGCTCAACTTAAATCCGTCGAAGCCGTCAACAACTGCGTAATGAAAAGGACATTTAAAAAAGTCTCTCGACCGACGAGGCATGACGGGAAGGCGCTAAGGCAGTGATCCCTAAACTTTCTGCCGTGAGGGCTATATGGATACATTGTTCAGTCTGAAAGTGGGCTGCATAGAAAAATCATTCATTTCTGCGTGGTCAAACATGCAAAAGCCAATTATAGTATGACGTAGTATGCCATGTGGAAATAGGAACTGGGGCACAATTTAGATGCCATTGCATTGAAGAATCGAAGGCCATTCCCCTCCCTCCCCCCCTTTTTTTTCTCCGTTTCACTTCCCTTTTACGTCAGAAGTTGCAAATATGGCATGAACACATATAATGCAACGAAGCAGGGTATAAAGGTCAGGAGGAATGGTTTGATCACGAGTATAGACGAATAATTCAAAACGCGCCTCGGAGAACGATATCTTGCATAATTTATTGTTTTGCATATTTTATTTGGAAGCTGAAGCCTTTCTCCCTTTTCCAGAGGGAGAAAAGCATTCCACAACGAGTTTCAAATCATGTTCTGAATACATGAGAATGAAATGAAAGTAGGATAAAAGCGGGGACGTCCTCACAGTCAGGAATTCAATCAAGATTTTAAATTAAAATAAAAAGGCGAGGGGGGGGGTATCGCCTCCCCTTTGAAACCGAATCAGCACGGAGCCTCAAACGAAGTAAAGCACGCCCTAGAGACTCACGTGGAGCCGACGGGGTGGTAAACGACCTCGTATCGGACGCCTTCAGTCGGACTGCAGACCCACATGACTTCAATGTTGGACGGAGGAATCACCACCAAGGTCACCACCTTCTCCGGATCGCCGTCTTTTTCTTCCTTCTCATTCTCATTCGCGCCAGCTCCTGATTCTCTTCCTCCTTCGTGGTCCTCTTCATTCCCCGATCCTCTCCAATCCTCTCTCACCGGACTCGAATCTGGAAGCAAAACAGGGATATGTGTCTGCGTGATGACTTTTTCTGGGCCGGGAGACGAAAGGGATTTGCGTGATGCTTCCTTTCGATATCTACACGATTCGGCGCCAATAGACCATGCTATTTCGAAGTCAAGCGTCTCCGAAAATAGGAAAGGCTCATGTGTATCCATACAGTTGATTCCCATTTCCCAATCCTCCGAGAAACAATCCCCAAGGGCTGCTTTTTTGGGAAGTCTTAGTCTGGAGAGGGTCATAAAGCGAGCCTATCGGCGCCTCGTCCTAGCCTTTATATCCAAAGAGTCAATCGATTGCGAGGGAGAGAGAGAGAGAAAGAGAGGACAGGCCAGGCAGGACACACGAGAAAAGGGGAATACAAAAGAAGGCAATCATGATAGGCATTCACGGCCAACCTCATTTCCTTCCTTCCTCCCCATTATCCCCATATGGATGCAATGCAGAGAGGGAGAATCCCCTATTGCCGGAGAGCCAATCCTCAGCGATTGCTTCACCCCCACATCATGTACCTAATACGAGTCCCTACCACCTTGTACTTTCCGTCCCTCGTTCCGATGTCACGTCTCGTACTTGGTCCTTTTCTTCCCACGATCGCACGTCCCTCACCAGATCCATTAGTCTGTTTATAGGAGCCAGTAGGTCCCAGAGGCATTCATTCATCTTCATTCGACCCTTGCTCCTCGGTCTCTCCGCATGCATGGAAAGCCAGCGTCCACCATTCCCATTCCCCGACGGCCGGCTGATGAATGGATCACTAAACTTGGGCTGCATTAACCCTGGCCTATCCCCGCATTCTTTTCCCGGCTTCAATCACAGGCCGAAGCAGAAAATCCCCAGGTTTCGTTCTAAGACTGATTCATCAACTAATCCTATGGTAGATCGAGCGAGCGCGAACTTCTCTTCGGGTCGTGTGGAGTGGTGAATGGGGTTGATAGTTCGTGAGAAAAACACCACAAGGCTGCTAGAGCCTGTCATCGCTTTTTCATTCAAATGTAGCGGAAAAGGAAGCATTCTCGAGAGAAGCTCCATAAAGTGCAACAGACGGTTGAAGGCTTAAGCAAGAGGGACAGAGGGCGAGTCCCGTGGCTCAGCTACGTATTTTACCATCCATCCACTCATAATGGTTCTACTGCTCATATCTTTCTAGGATGAGTAAATTGAGGGTGAGGAATGGGCTCGGGACATCGTTCATCATCGGAGAGGTCTCTCTTTATGACTATAATAAAGCCCACCCTCGAAGAACGAATTTCATCACTTTTTGTCATCCTCTTTTCCACCGTGAGTACATTTTGAGCCTAGGAGTTCCTTTCCGGGATGACGAATGCTGCAATCGAAAAGGGGATTCTCCTCTCTCCCAACAGGTCTAATGCATCTGTTTCTGAGGAAGCTTGATAAGAGAGGAAGAGGACTCCACTTACTCTATCTCCTTGGCTCTGTGACAAATGGAGTCTCAGATACTGCGTTAAAGCTCGAGGAGTACGGCATGCGGAGGGTTTGCATGACAGCAAAGCATAGAGGAATGGAAAGTCCTATAACGTAGGCTGTCTATTATATCATGATGATCGTGATGAACGATTTCCCCGACCTCCGCAGTCGATTCCTCGCGGCACTTGCAGTAGTAGGCACTTTTGATCCTTCGATGGAAATACGGACCGATTAGAAATGGATCTGGCACGCCATCTATTAATCCATTAGTGAACGCAGATGGGGGGAGGGGGCGGGAGCCGATTTTCACGTCCTCATTTTACATGTTATGAAAATATCGCTCCCGCGAGAGTGTGCTGGCTCTTCAAGTAGGGAGCTGGTCAGCATAAGGCCTCTTGGAACGAAAGGATTAGCTTCCTATCTCAATGTGAGATTTCAACACTTTCAGTCCCGGGGATTTGAATGCGTTTGGCTTACAGCCGCCGTATGACGGGTATGGGACTGAAAGTGTTAATGATATTTGCAGCAGATCTCACATCGTCACGCCTCGAGTTCTTCCCGAATTCAATCTCATTAGAGTTGTACAATCTCATTTACTGAAATCCGTAGTTTACCTACGCTTGTCATGCACTCGTTTGCTCCTCGTTAGACGATGGGAACAAGAGCTCGGATTCTAAAAGGAGCTATACATGAAGGAAGGGAACGCGAGATTAGCTGCCCGCTATTCACGAGAAGGAATGGGATGAAGACGTCAATATAGTGTCAGGTCCGGGTAGGGGGAACATAAGCAAAGGAAGTGAACAAACAAGGACGTGATTCCGTCTGTAAATATTTCAACTCCTCCCCCCTTGGCTTTCGATCGTACCTCTTCACTCCCAGAATCTTTCCTTTTCGATCCGTGCCGTTTCCCGTTTTGAATGAGGCAGTCCAAGGTCGAGGGCTTTCCTCTCGAAAGACAATATTGGAGTGCACGAGGCACTCTGGGTCTCGTGAAGAACCATCGTCTCTGCAGGGGCACAATTGTCTGGATAATTACCTCGACGAGGAGGGAACGATATTCGTGATCACAGTCTAGCGCTGGCAGATGGAGAATGCATCCAGCCCCACAGTGGCAGGTTATTCAATCCTTCATCACGGGATAATTAAATTTCCCTCCATCGTATCACGGGCGCAAATGGACGGGATTTTCCCGATCTCCGTCCATGAGGGATTGCCCTGGCTCCCGAGCCGTCAGGAGATAGGAGGCGAGGAAAGGCTCATACCCGTAAATATACGTGAAACTCCATCACGAAGGTCGTTAATTTGATGATCGAGGGAAATGAACCGAACCCAGCTCCAATTTCCGTATCTCATGAAAGTAATGCCGGAGCGCCTCCCGACATGCCAAATGCTTCACAGATCAGAAAGCAGGAACGTGTTAAAGTGGGTCCTTACGACCTAAATTACCTTCCATTTCTAAATGATGAAATACATTTTGAGTGATCTCTTGAGGACTCCAGAGGGAAGTTCCCGCGTCTGACTAATTCAGAGAAAGCGAGGGAAATAGAGAGGGGTGTACGACAGTTAACGAGTGGATGGGGAATTCTCAAGATTTATCAGTCTGCGAATACGCGTAAAGAGATGAAAATATTCATGCAATCTTGAAAGGCTAAAGCGGGGCAAGAATTTGCTTTTGGACATGATGAATGTGACCCATGCCACATTAATCACGTCCTGCGCTGCTAATTAACTTCATGAATATTCCTACCGACTAGCAATAAATGTTATTCAAATGCAATTGATACCAGACAATTTTAGCAAAAATTAGTTATGATACTTATGGAGTAGTCAAGACTACTCCAGGACTATGCTCCAAAGAAGGAACGCTGGGATATGGTCTCAAGCTTCTTTTTTTAATTCAGGAAAGTGTATTTAGGAAATAGCGGGAAGCTGTCGGGGAAAGTTATGGGCATGCATATTTCCAGCCCTTAATAAGCTTATACGAATATTGCCAGCTTTGTCTTGAAACCGCCTTTGGTCACTTTTCATGCTGAATGCTATGGGAATCTTTCTCATTCTCCGTTATTCCTATTTAGTGCAAAATTCCCGCCTTGGGTTTCGTTATTGCCCTAGGTTTATTTAATTTCACGGAATACTCCATGGTTGACGTACATGGATCATGGATGGTGAAAAAACTGCTACAATCTACATTACCGCAACCTCGCAACAGCTGGAATACCTCTACCAAGTCACCCTTCAAGAATCTTCCCCAGCGAATCGAGACCAAGAGAACGTAATCTTTTTTTCATGAGTAAATCCCACGACGTGCCTCATTATCTCGGTCGCTCTCCGTTGCATTCCCACTGGAGCATCCATCGTCTTTACGAGCGACTCCCTCCTCGTGACGCGAGCGACTCCCTTCTCGTGACGCGAGCGACTCCCTCCTCGTGACACCAGCGAGCCGGACGGGATCGCCACGGGAAGCTCTGTTTTCGCTCATTCCCTTCCCGGCGTGAAAGGTGTCGCGGATCTTATTTTTCTTCGTCTCTGGAGAACCATCGTTTAACCGACATGCGCCTCGTGTTGAGGAAAGAATGATGGATGAAAGGAGTCCCATGAGGATACAAAGGAGTAAATATACGTCGTAAATCCATGAACAGTTGCGATGACGAGAGATCAGATTCATTCCACGATTTCCTCGTTAGTGTTGGTCTTCCGATTCCCCATCCAATCAACCCCCTTCCCTCCTCTCTTTCTCTCTCTCTCTCTCACTCTCTCTTTCTCTCTTTTTTCTGTTCCTTTCGTTTTCTCTCCGCCTTCCTCGGGGCTCGTCCTGAATATTAATCTTTCGCCGAGAGACCTTTCTTCTCTCCTGCGATTTCAAGTGACGTGAAGTAATCTAGTTTAGACCTTTGCTAAAAAAAAAAAAACTTTCGAAACCTTGCTAACTGTCCAGTTTGAAGGAAAATTTAAAACCGAGCGGCCCAAAAAGCAGCAAAACGTTATTCATGTTGATGCAGGTTCGCTGTAGCTTTTGCTTTGCCGTGAGAACTTGAATCAGTGCTTCTAGTGCATCAAACATCGAGGGAACTACCCTAGTAGCAAATAACATTCAAACAACATTGATTCAACATCCGGACGTTGAACCAACATTGAATCAATGTTGATTGCTATATGCTACTTGGGTAGACGAGTTCCTAAGATTACAAAAGTGCTTCGTATAAGGCTCGATCTGATAATCAGAGGGGTATAGATATATTTACCGCATGCCTCAGCCTTAATCTAAATGTCATGGCGGCACTGGACTAGGGAAGGATGCGAGTAGATCCTGATTTTCTGAGAAACCTTGACTTCTTTACTTAATTTACGGACGGCGCATGGCGAAAAATGCAAGTTTGAAGCCGTAATCTAAAGTTTTGAGATACCTTGTACTCCCTGATGAATTGCTAGACAAAAAGTGTGGCGCAAAAAGTTCCCTTTGAGGGCAAATGAATAACATGAGCAGCCTGCAATGAGGGCAGTTAGGAACGTCATCGCCGACGAGCGGGCAATACCGCATAGCAGGCGCTTTCCCCCCCCCCCCCTCTTCCCTTCCCCCCCCCCCCCTGAATCCTGCTGCGAGGCAATAAATATTTCTTTTTTATTTTCGCATATTGTGACCCCCCCCCCCCCCCCCCTCCCCATATTTCCTCCTTTCTTGGTCGTGGCAAGGATTCTGGATGGAGACTATACGTTAAACTAGACATCAATAGGATGAATGAAATGACCACTCGACAAGGGACGATAGGGCTCTTCTTGCTTTTGCTGCTCTCTTCGCAAGAGCTGGGAGCTTCTCGACACGCATAACGCAAGTTACCAAGGCGACCAGCCTATACAGTCGCTCCTCGGGCGAACCGCGTGCTATCGACGTCGTTCATTACCTTACAGGGAATCATCAGGCATTATGCAATAGGGCGAGGAGGTCTGTTTTTGCGGAGACGTGACGTAAACACACTGGAGCCTGAAACGCGATCTCGATGCCCTTTCGCGAGTCGATAAGGTCGATCCGGACGGAGAGGGTGTACGGGGAAGTGATCCTTCAGAGCGAGACGACGGCAGATGCCAAATGTCAGATATGAGGAAGAAGACGCTCCGAGTCTGGTGTCAGCTCCATGCCCTGTCACCGAGAATGATGGATGGGAATCTTATTGCTCCCTACCACGACTCTGTCCTAGATAACCACAGGCTGCAGATAATATTTCTCCAAGGCTTCTTATTTCGTTTTTATTATTGTCATTTCGCGCGTTTTTTCTAAAATATATGGTCATTGTTTTTTTTATTATTTAAATAAGCCTTATATTAGGAATACCAATATTCAACTGATAATT